AGTACTTATAACCTTGACTATAAAGGGGTTGTGCTGCAACTATTTCTTCATTTTAATATGTAAGTCTCTTATTTTACTCGCATAAAGTTCAGAAGAGTGTCTCTCTAGTTTAAGATTGAATAGTAGGTTTCAACAAATTCTAGGATTATTTTCACATGAATGTATTTTTCTATTAATTCATTAATATAATGATTTAATTAATAGAACTGCTACTTTTGTATGGATATTTCTTTTCTTTTTACTTGTCCATTGTGGGGCTTAATCTTTGGGCTTGGGCACTGTCCCTGAGCACTTCAACTCAAGGCTGCCACTTGAGCCACAGCACCACTTCTGATTTTCTGGTGGTTAATTGGAGATCAGAGTCTCACAGACTTTCCTGCCCAGGCTAGCTTTGATCTGCAATCCTCATCTCTCAGCCTCCTGAGTAGCTAGGATTAGAGGCATGAGCCACCGGTGCCCGGCTTGTATAGTTATTTCTTAAGAAGGTGTTGGACATGGTTTGACTATCTTAATTGATCATTATGATTTTAAAAGCTAGGTTTTAAAAAATATCCATCCAAGAACTGTTTATTTTCATTTCTAAAGTAAAAGCTTAATGCTTTGAATTCACTCTTAACCACATTGGCTCCATTCACCAATTTCTGTTTTTGTGTGTGTGTCAGTCCTGGGACTGACAATCCAGGGACAGGCCTGAGCCCTGGATTTTTTGCTCAAGTCTAGTGTGTGCTACCACTTGAATGGTAGCTCTACTTTTGGATTTTTTTTAGTTGTTTATTGGAGGTAAGAGTCTCTTGGGCAGGCTTTGAACTGCAATCTTTAGATCTCAGCCTCCTGAATTGCTAGGATTACAGATGTGAGCCACTGGCTCCCAGTATTCCACCAAATTTTTTTGGGGGGGGATTCCAGTCATGGGCCTGAACTCTGGGCCTGGGCACTGTCCCTCAGCTCTTCACCTCAATGCTAGTGCTCTACCACTTGAGCCACAGCACCACTTCCAGCTTTTTTTTTCTGCATATGTGGTGCTGAGGAATCAAACCAAGGGCCTCATGCATGCATGGCAAGCGCTCTACCACTGAGCCACCTTCCCAGCCCTCCACCAAATTTTTATAAGTCATACTTCCCCTTTCAGTCATACCTGTTTTCATTTCATATATCTGTTGATAAAGCAGTCCAGATTTAAAATGATTGAGGATCGGACTCATAATAGAGAACCTGCCTACCAGTGTAAGGCCCTTGAGTTCAAACCTCAATATTGCCCCACAGGGATTATTATATAACTTTGATCATGTATACAATCAGCATTCTTTAATTAGTGTTGGAATGACATGAGATTTTCTATCCTTTTCTTTTTGGCCTAATTATATAATTACAATTAAAGTTGGTTTCTTGCATATGGCATTGTAAAATCTCTTTCACTTGGGTGTTTTTTAGACTTGAAGTCATTATTGACATGTTCGGATATTTACCATTTTTAAAATTTTTTTCCCTTGTTGCATCTGCTTTTTGTTTCTCTTACCTATCTCCTGCCATCATTTGAATTATTTGAATGATTTTTAGTATTTCATTTGAAATTACTAATTTAGTTTCTTACTCTATATTTAAAACCATCTCAGGCTGGGAAGGTGGCTTAGTGGTTGAGTGCTTGCCTTGCATGCATGAGCCCCTGGGTTTAATTCCTCAGCACCACATAAGCAGAAAAAGCCAGAAGTGGTGCTGTGACTCAAGTGGTAGAGCCCTAGCCTTGAGCTGAAGAGCTGAGGGACAGCTCCAAGGCCCAGAGATCAGGCCCCATGACCGCCCCCCCCCAAAAAAAATCTCAAAGACCATTATTTCCTCATTAAATGATCTTGTCAAAATTTATTAGCTATAGATAGATGAATTTCTTTCTGAATTCTTAATTCTATTTAGTCAATCTATAAGTCTATTCTTATGTCAGTGCCATATGTTTTGGTTAGTACAGTTTGTCTAAATTTTAAAACTGGGAAATGTGAATTCTCCAACATTACTCTTTTTCAGGATTATTGATATATTTGCATCCCTCCAAAGTTCATATATTGAAACATTACCCCTATTTAATGGTATTTGGGGTATGGTTGTTAGGTCACATTGCCCTTATGAAAGATAACCACGGAACTCTCTTGTCTTTTTGATCTTGTGAAGGCTCAGTGAGAAGAATGCCATGTATTTATGTCTAGGAGAGTGGTTCTTATCAGACATGAAATCTGTTGGTGCCTTATCTTGGCCGCTTTAGCCTCCAAAACTAATACATTTCAGTTGTTGATAAGTCCAAACAGATTTAAGATATTTTTAAGCAGTTCAGAGTCCCTTGCTATTTAATTCAAATTTTGGGAGCAACTTATCCATTTCTACAAAAATGGCCATTAGCATTTTTATAGATCATGTTGTGTGGTATTGCCATCTTAAGAGTATAAGCTGTTTCTCAATCTGTTGATATCTTCCTTAATTTCTTTTAACAATATTGAATAACTTTCACTATATATATCTTATGTTTACATAGTTAAATTTATTCATACTTATTCATGTGTATATGTGTGTGTGCGCCTGCCTGCCTGCCTTCCTTCCTTCCTTCCTTCCTTCCTTCCTTCCTTCCTTCCTTCCTTCCTTCCTTCCTTCCTTTCTCTCTCTCTCTTTCTTTCTTTGTGTGCGCGCCTGCCTGCCTGCCTGCCTGCCTTCCTTTCTCTCTCTCTTTCTTTCTTTCTTTCTTTCTTTCTTTCTTTCTTTCTTTCTTTCTTTCTTTCTTTCTTTCTTTCTTTCTTTCTTTCTTTCTTTCTTTCTTTCATGAGGCTTGAACTCTGGGCCTGGGCGTTGTCCCTGAGCTCTTCAGCGCAAGGCAAGCACTCTACCACTTGAGCCACAGCGCCACTTCCAGTTCTCTGGTGGTTAATTGGAAGTCAGAGTCTCACAGACTTTCCTGTCTGGGCTGGCTTTGAATGGTGATCCTCAGATCTCTGCCTCTTGAGTAGCTAGGATTATAGGCATGAGCCACCAGTGCCTGGCCATACTTATTCTTGTGATTCTATTGTAAATGGAAGTGTTTTCTTAATTTCCTTTATGTATTATTTATTGTTAATATATATAAACAGCTTATTTGTACATTTGTATATTGATAAATACTTTACTATTTGTCTGTAGCATAACTAGCTGAATTGTCTTTTGGGGGAATGGATTCTTTATTATTTGGGTATACAGATTAAGATAATCTGTGAATAGAGATCATTTTACTTCTTACTTTCCAATGTGGATATATTCTAGTCCAATTGCTCTGGCTTGATCTTTCAGTACAGTGTTATGAGAGCAGCGCTGAAAATGGTTATCTTTGTCTTACTCTTTTTGTTGTTTTGTAGTACTAGCTGTTGAAGACAAGACCCTGCACAAGCTAAGCAAGTATTTTACCATCTGAGCTATATCTTTAGCCCCTGTCTTATATTCTTGATCTTAGAGGAAAGCTCTTAGTCTTTTACTGTTGCGTGTGATGTGGGTTTCATAATTGCCCTGTATCTTGGTAAGTGCCTGTCCCGACCCGCAGGACTTCAACGAGGGCAATGAACCTAAGCGAGAAGGAATGAAGGGACAAGAGACACGAAGAAGGACAGCAAGACAAGGATTCTGATCAAGCTGCCAATTTTTATTTTTCACACAAGGGTATTTATATGCTTAGAGTAAGGAAGCTTTTTCATTGGCCATAGCAGCTGCAGGATGTTTGCTTAGGGCAGTGTGAAAAGGTGGACCTTAGCAGCTACTTGGTCTTTGTTTGGGGCAGGATGAAAGGACCAGATTCAGTAAACAGCCTGGAGATGTTCCAGCGAGATAGTCAAATTTATCATGCAGAGAGACTCCCTGCAGGGCTCTCCAAGTGCCATTGTATTTTTAAGAATTTTTCTTTAATCTTCATTTTGTCAAATGCTTTTTCTACTCTATCACATTTTGTTTTGGTTACTTTGTCTTTTGTTATACTAATATCTGTTATATTGATTTTCCTCATGTTGGTTATTCTTGGATTCCTAGGATAGATCCCATTTGGTCATAATACATGATACTCTCTTCTTTTGGGGGGGAAGTTCTGGGGCTTGAACTTGGAGACTCATGCTTGAGAACAGGTACCCAGTTCTTTTTGCTTTATTTTTCAAATAGAGTCTTGCTTTGACTTGGAGCTGGCATCAACTGTAATCTTCCTATCCTATCCCATGTACTAGATTGCAAACATGAACCGCTATGCCTGGCTTGTTCTTTGAGATAGAGTTTCACTGACTTTTTACCTAGTCTGGCCTCAAATTTCAGTTCTCCATTTCTCCAAATAATTGGGATTATAGGCCTGAGCCACTGTACTTGGCCATGGTTTTATGCTACAAAATTTGATTTACTAGTATTTTGTTGCAGGTGTCTGACTCAGATTAGTAACATGAGGGAAGACTTATTAAAGGGAGAAATTCTAGAGCTGAATTATAAAAGATAACTCAGTCACTGGATAGATGTTGGATGATTGAATCAAACCTGGGCACTTGTAGCTCACACCTGTAATGTTAGCTTCTTGGGAGACTCATATAAAGTATAAATGACTCCATCTCAACAGAGGGAAGCTGGATGTGGTGGTGGGTGCAATGAAAAGAAGCCTAAAAAAAATAGTTGTCATACATGTGTGGGCCCGGGCAGGAAGTGAACCATATCTCAAAATAACCAGAGCAAAATAAGGTTTGAGGCGTGTCTCTGATAAAACACCTGGCTAGTAAGCATGATGCCCGAGTTCAACCCAATACTGCCAGAAAAATCAAGTAAAAGAATTAGGTTAGTGCAAGGGTAAAACTTTTGCTTAAAAGGGTACAAAAGTTATAAATGTATGTGATACGTTCAGGAATTCCTGCTTGAGTGTGAATGGCATAAAGGACATATTTGTATGGGAGTTGGCAGAACTTAGATACGTATTATTCTGTCCCTCCTTTTGGATGAAATCTTAATTTATTCTGTTTCTCTTTTCTCTATAGTCTATCCTTCCCTGGAGTCTGATGATGATGACCCTGCTTTGAAATCTCGACCCAAGAAAAAGAAGAATTCAGATGATGCTCCATGGAGTCCTAAAGGTGATCCAGTATTCTAAACCTCAAATGCTCCAGGGCAAACATTTGTCTAGCCTACATATAATATGCTAGAGCTAAAATGGTGTGTGATACACAGTTTTGTTATCAATTCAGCAGAACTAGAGGCAATGGAACATGTTGATTTTGATACTCTCTGAGTTGAGATGAAAGGAAAAAGACCTTGAGCAGATTTTATCAAGTGTATCCTAAGACTTCTAAGAACCTCTGATACCATCATGCTGGCCCTCTGGTAAATTTTTTGTCACAGAGGAAAATTATTCTAACTGTTTCATCCTACAAGGTTTAAAACTTACCTATTGAGAAGTCATCTCTGAGGAATCACTAAGGGGAACATAGAATTTAGAGGGGGATAAAGTGACCTTCTCCATTTCATTGGCTGGGTGATTTTTACATTGTATGTCATTGCTGCTTAACAAACTATCCAAAATTTAGTGGCTTAAAACAACGCTAGTTAAATTTAGCCAGTGACAAATGTTGGTGGGGATGCAGAGAAAGAGGAACCCTACTGCATTGCTCGTGAGAATGTACACTAATACCACCACTTTGGAAAGCAGTCTGGAGGTACCTCAGAAAGCTAAATATAGATCTCCCCTATGACTCAGCCATACCACTCCTAGGCATCTACCCTGAGCAACAGGAACCAGGATATAAGGACACATGCACCTCCATGTTTGTTGCCGCACTGTTCACAACAGCCAGGATATGGAAACAACCCAGATGCCCCACTACACATAAATGGATCCAAAAATGGTGGTACCTATATCCAATGGAATATTATGCAGCTATTAGAAAGGACAAAATAATGGCATTTGCAGGGAAATGGATGAAACTAGAACAAATCATTTTGAGCGAGGTAAGCCAGGAGCAGAGAGACAAACAGCACATGGTCTCCCTGATACATGGATGTTAAATTCAAAATTCAAGGAGATATGACAAAGTAAACAGACTCAAGAAACAAAGGATCTCCATTCAATATGTCATATCATTTCTAAATGACTCCATGTTCTTGACCACATATATGCTGTGTGTGTGTATATGTGTGTGTGTGTGCACATCTGAAGGAAGCTAAGAGGAGGGCACAGAAGCAGAGGGAAACGGGAAATATACAACAGAGGGTCCCATCAACTGCACTGGACATTGATAAAATGAACTAAGCAACTCAAGGGCAGTGATGGGAGGGAGGGAATGAGAGGGAAAGAGGGAACAGCTTACATTAAGCAAAAGGAAAGAAATGTACATATCACCCGATGTGGAAGAAATAGTTGTATTGTTAAAGCTCATAAAATTCACAAACTTTATAGACCATGATAATGATAATTTGACTTGTGAAAGTTAAATACTAGTTGATCAGTTTTCATGGTTCTGAAGGTTGATTGCTGTTATTTCTATGTGAGCTAGCTTGTCTGGGGCTGCATGGTGTAAGATCTCCCTCAGCTGTATGGGATCTGACCTAGATTGATAGGACACTTTTCTATATAGTCTCTTCCAAGCCTAAGCTTCTTCACAGTACAGCAGAGGATGTCCAGTAGCAAGAAAGGGACAGGGCTCAATATACAAGTATATTTCAAGCCTCTGTGTGTATCATGTTTACTCTTGTCCCATTGACTAGAGCAAGTTACATGCCCATACCCTGATTCCAGGGCTGGGGAAATAGATTGTACCTCTTGATAGGGAACTTTGGAGACATATTCTGAAAGGGCATGTGCACCAGGAGGTGTGAGAAACTGAAAGTCTGCCATAGAGGATGCTGAGATGTATGTATGTTATCCAGAAAATAAAGAGCCTGCTGTTCTCACTCAGTCTTATTTGGCCTTCCTAGTGTTAGCTTAGACTTAGTTCTTTTCATTAACTTCTGATATGCCTCTTTTCTTTCTACACCTTCCTTCTATGAAGATATTAATGCCATATGTTGTCTTGTGATTAATACTCTACATTTACTAAGGATCTTCATTTTGTGCTGGTCCTGAGTCTTTAACTCAGGGTCTGGGCACTATTCCTGAACTTTTTTGCTCAAGGCTAGCACTCTACCACTTGAGCCACAGTTCTACTTCTGGCTCTTTTGGTAGTTAATTAAAGATGAGAGTCTTTGAACCATGATACTCAGATTTCAGCATCTTGAGTAGCTACGATTATAGGCATGAGCCACTGGCGCCCAGCCCTATCTGGCCTTTAAGGTTAATATTATAAGTATATTCCTACGTCTTTGTTTATAAATAAATATTTTAAATGAACACATAATATTTACTGAATGGATTATACCTCAGTTCTCCCTTTTTTGAGAGAACAGTGCTAGGGCTTGAACTCAGGGACTGGGTGCTGTCCCTGAGCTTTTTTTGCTCAAAGCTAATGCTCTTCCACTTAAGCCATAACTCCTCTTCGGGCATTTTGGTGGTTAATTGGAGCTGAGTCCTATGGACTTGTCTTGCCAGGGCTGGCTTTAAACCATGATCTTCAGACCTCAGCTTCTTGAGTAAGTAAGATTGTAAGCATGAGCCACTGGAGCCCAGTTCTAAATTCTCCTTTAATGTGCAGCATGTAAGCTTTTCTGGAATTTTCATAATTAGTGATAACATTTAAAGTAAGCATCTTAAGTGAATGTATTTCTTGTAATTTCTTAAGAATGAAACCTTAAAAGGGTTAAAATACATGAGTATTGGGCTGGGAAGGTGGCTCAGTGGTAGAGCACTTGCCTTGCATGCATGAGGCCCTGGGTTCGATTCCTCAGCACCACATAGGCAGGGGAAAAAAGCCAGAAGTAGCTCTGTGGCTCAAGTGGTAGAGCGCTAGTCTTGAGCTGAAGAGCTGAGGGACAGCACCCAGGCCCAGAGTTCAGGCCCACGACCGCCCCCCCCCCAAAATACATGAGTATAAATGTTGAAATTTGTGAGTATAAAAATGTGATGCTCCATTTGGAATAAATCACAACTTCTAGTTTATCTTTTAGAGATGGTTTATGAATAAACAAATGCATGTCATATTTCTTTTTACATTTGTTTTACGCAGTTGAAATGTTACTTTATATGCCACTACATCTTTTTTTTTGTCAGTTGTGGGGCTTGAACTCTGGGCTTGGGCACTGTCCCTCCTGAGCTCTTCAGCTCAAGGCTAGTGCTCTCCCACTTGAGCCACAGTGGCATTTCTGGTTTTCTGGTGTTTCATTGGAGATCAGAATCTCAAGGTCTTTCCTGCCCGAGCTGGCTTTGAACTTCAGTCCTCAGATCGCAGCCTCCTGAGTAGATAGGATTACAGGTGTGTGCCACGGGTGCCGGCTTACTTCTTTCTTTTCTTGTTTAATAATATATCATGGAGATCGTTTAGACTTATACCAATAATACATCATTGCCAACAGTTTGTTAATATAAATGTTTTTAAGGTACTTAACAGGTGGCTTACACCTGTAATCCTACCTACTCAAGAGGCTGAGATTTGAGGTTTGTGGTTTGAAAAATTGTGGTTTGAAGAAAGCCAGAGCAGGAGAGTCTGTGAAACACTTATCTCCAATTAACCATTAAAAAAAAAGCCTGAAATGAAACTATGGATCAAGTGATAGAGCTCCAGCCTTGAGCAATACAGCTAAGGGACTATGCTAAGGCCTTGAGTTCAGGCCCTAGTTTTGGCACACACACACATGCACATGCACACGCACACACACAAAAGTTCTTGATAAGTATTAATGAATTGCCTTCCAAAAAGGTCATACCAACATGCATTCCAGTTGGCCGTGTATGAGAAAGCTTATTTATTTAAGAAATCCTTAATTGAGCATATCTGTTAGGCACAGTATTTACATTTAATTAAGAGGAACGTCTCAAGCATCCTTAATAGAGTCATAGATAGCTACTGTATTTCCAGAGCAGGTTGTAGTTCAGAAGAGCAGAAAGAAAAGGAACTAACAGACTTCCTTAGTACCCCCTCTTCCAAACCTTTTCCCTTTTTTTTTTGCACCCAGGATTTTGCACATAGTAGACAAGTGCTCTACCTTTAAGCTATATCTCCAGGTCTTGATTTTTTTTTGAGACTGTCTTGCCTACAGAGCCTAAGTTAACTTCAAACTCATTATTCTGCCTCTACTTCTAAAGTACTATGATTACAGACATGTGCCACTGATCCCTGCTGGGTTTCTCTTCTTTTTAACATCCTTTTGTGGAAAGTGAGTCATATGACCAAGACTATCACAGAGACTCACTCCTCTAACCCCAGCTACTCAGGAGAGATGACTGGAATGATTGCAGTTCAAAACCAGCCTGAGCAACAAGTTTAGCAAGACCCCACATGGGCATGTACACTTGTAATCTCTGCAAAGCAAGAAGTATAGATAGGAGGATTTCTGTTCAAGGCTGCGAAAAATGTGAGAGACTCTGAATAATAACTAAAAGCAGAGGGCTGAGAGCATGGCTCAAATGTCAGTGCATGCCTATTAAGAGCCAGGTCCTGAGTTCAAACCCCACTACTGCAATAAAAACAAAAAGTGAGCCGGGCGCTGGTGGCTCACGCCTGTAATCCTAGCTACTCAGGAGGCTGAGATCTGAGGATCGCGGTTCAGAGCCAGCCCTGGCAGGAAAGACCGTGAGACTCCTATCCCTGATAAACCACCAGAAAACCGGAAGTGGCGCTGTAGCTCAAGTGGCAGAGTGCTCTCCTTGAGCTGAAGAGCTGAAGGATAGCGCCCAGGCCCAGAGTTCAAGCCCCACAACCGACCAAAAAAAAAAAGTGAAAAAAAACCTAGCCTTTTTAGGTATTTAAAAATTACTATAAATAGAAATATATGTAAATATACTATTTTACTATTATTAACTCATTATGGTTACCAGCATAAGAATACAACGTATTTTTTCCTTTTAAGATAAATTTTGTTAGATAACTTAAAAGCATATAGAAAATTAGGTCAGTGCCATAAATGTCTTAATTTTTGTTCTCTCAAGAGTTAATAATTTTCATTTTCACTATGTTTGCTTTATTACTTTTTCTGAGGCAGCTTAAGT